AGGTCTTTGCAAATAGGGAAGGGTGGAGGGGGTGAAGGGAGGGCAAGGGAAGGGGAACAAAAATAAGAACCAAGATACATCGTGTAAAGGTACAAGTTCCCAATGATGAATGTAACTGTATTTTATACCTAAAATGTACCAATAAGGTTTTAAAAAAATGATGTTTAAAGGATAATTAAAAGTAGCCAGTCCTGTTAGGCATGGTATATATACTACCATTTACTATCCCAACTTGTAGATTGCTTTCATTTCATGAGATTTGAAATTTGGAAAGGATTCAGTTTGAATAGTAGTATAATATAGTCATTATAAAGTTTAAAATATATGTGCTTCTTTATTTATTCCATAAAATGCTTCCATTCTTAGTGCCTCATTATTAAAGTAGGTAATCACGGTGACACGGAAACTTCAGGTACACACGAGGGGGTATAACACGCTCAGAGCAAATAACCTTTATAGCCATGATCATTTTATAAATGCTTGGCCTCTCAGGCTCAGTGAGGATACGAAAATAAGCATAGTACAAGCTGAACATCTCTTCTGAAATTTGATTTCAAGTTGAATTTCAGATTTTTAGATTAGGGACGCTCAGCCCTAAGGGTATGCAAATATTCTGAAATCTAAAATAGTTTGAAATAACTTCTGGTCCCAGGCATTTTGGATAAAGGATAATCAGCCTGTGTATAGCAATACGCACTTTGCTAAGCTTTTAGGCATTAACTCATTTTGTCCTCTTCCAGTTAACCCTCTAATGTAGGTTTTATTGTTTGCTTCATTACTAGTTAAACCAACATATTGGGCATGGTGGCCCATGCCTGTAATTGCCTATAATCCCAGCACCTGGGAAGCTGAGGCAGGAGGATCATCACAAGTTTGAGGCCAGCCTCCCAGCTACACAGTGAGTTCAAGGCTGGTCTGAACTACATGGTGAGACACTGTCTCAAAAAAAAGCAACACAAGTGGGAAAAGTTGTCCCAAGTTGATAGCCAGAATATGTCAGAATCTACATTCAAGCACAGGTCTATCTTGTATTAGAACTAGAACACCTGTATTTTAAGATTGGAGTTTGGTTTTGGTCAACAGGAATTTCTTTTCTTTTTTCGGATTTCTTCAATAGTAAATGTATGAGTCATAAAAGAAAAAGGGTCACTGTTAAGAACCCTTGAAATTTCTGTTCTGATACTCTGATTTTTCAGTCCTGTTTATTGTTTGATGGTTGATAATTTATGGGTGGTAAAATTCATTGTGTAAGTTGTTCAAATTAATCTGGTGTGTTTCCAGGTGGTTGCTGTATATGGGACTTTATCTGATTTGCTCTCTGTGGCCAGCAGTAAACTCGGGATAAAAGCCACCAGTGTGTACAACGGGAAGGGCGGACTGATTGATGACATCGCTCTGATCAGGTAACCATCGGTCTCCCTGAGCGACCTGTGCCTCGGCTTCTCAGGCTGGGCTGTTTCCCTGGAGCAGTGGTTTCATTGCTGTTAAGACCAGAGGGTTTTGGCAAGTGATTAGGTATAGTTAGCTCTTGTGAATTTCAGTCATTTGGACTTGAGTTATATTGACTGGATAGAGAACCCTTACTATATTTCATACATTGACAGTCTTCCTGCATAGTTCATGTGTAACTATCAGGAATTTTTTTTATGGTCCTTGAGATAATCCAGGAAGATGAGCAGTTTTGTTATTTGGGTGTTTTTGGTACTGGGGATTGAACTCGGGACCTTGTGCTTGCAAGGCAGGCACCGGAACCACTGAGCTAAATCCCCAGCCCAAGATAAGCAGTTTGTAATGTTAAAAATCCAACTGATCTCTTTTATATGTATCTGCTCGTTATTAAATCCTTTCCTAAGAGTGCTTTGAGTTTTATAAACATCACAGAGACCTTATTTTGCAAAAACTTATTAAATAAGATAGAATCCTGAGAGAGACAGTGCTGGAGATCCAGCATGTAGTACATTTTTGGGTCTGTGTTTTGTTCAATATCCAAGGAAGATGATCTCTTCAAAGCAAGTTCTCACTCCTTTCTCAGAGTCAGAGAATTTTAGAGCACGAAGAGATGTGACAACAACCACAAACAGTAAAGGGAACGCAAGTTAAGTGCTGACCATGCAGTGTGTTGTAATTGCCCTGCCTGAGTTCTCTCATTTGGCCGACAAAGCGTGGGTTTTTAAATTGATAGTGTGAAGATGATGATGCTCTAAATTACAGTTGTGTATAAAATGTAATCTCTGAACCCAGGTCAGAATGACCTTTCAGTGTAATGTGCTGCCCTCAAACTTAATTACTGCTACAGCCTTCATTTTACCAACAGGAAACTAACCGTCTAAGAAGTTAAGTGATTTACCTAGGTCCTAGAGTTTAGTAATTGATTTTTGTTAATGAGATAATTTTTTTCCAATACCAGGGATCGAACTCAGGACCTTGAGCTTGCCCGGCAGGCACAGCTCCACAGAGCTAATGAAAACAAACTTTCAGCCTATTCTAAGAAAGTTGCCTGGCATCGTGTGCAGGAAATATAAACTGCATTTTAAATCCAAATAAGAGAATTTTAGTTTTTAAATTTCTGTCTTACAACTTATCTGTTTCTGTGAATAGTTAACATTGAATGATCTACATCACTAATTTTCTAACACAAAATCTGCTTTTAAGAAAAACTCAGTGTGTACCAGTGGTGTCCTGTAGGACATAACTGAAGGCTTCAGAGCTATACAAGATGTACCTGTTCAGTGGTTTCTTGTCTACAGTCTGATCATTCACTTACCCTAATCGTGGGGTGGCCTGGGCTGGGGAGGAAGATGTACACATAACATCTGATTCTCCAGAACTGTATGTTAACATGCAGTCATTTACATTTGAGTCTTAAGTGTGAATGTAGTGAGTATGTAGAGCAGAGTTAGTACAAATTGTATTTTTTTTGGATATAATATGAAAATTTCACATATAGCAGCTAATGACTTAGGAAAGAGCTCCAATAATTTGTCTGTGGTTGAAGAATTAAAGTAAAGTTAAAAGAAAGAAGTTGGCTATGACTTTAATCATATTTTGAGTAGAATAGTACATTAGTCAGTTAATAAGCCAAGCTGGACATGGTGGTGCAAACCTGTAATCAAGCACCAGGGAGGCTGAGGCAGGAGGATTGATGCAAGCTTGAGGCCAGCCTTGGCTACATAGTGAGTTGAAGGGCTGCCTGGACTGCATAGCAAGATCCTATCTCTAAAAGTAGGGAAAAGAAAACAAAAAGAAGTCAAATTCACATAATTTGCATAGTGTTTTTTTTTTTCCATTTCAAAAATACTCTTATGCACAGGACCCTTGCATCTTTATGTATAGAGGACATTTGAATTTAAACCCGGGGACAGTAGTAGGTCAGGGGGTTAAACAAAGTGCTGAAAATTAAACTTCTTTGTACGCAGATTGACAGCAAAACCTATTTTCTAAATAATGCTAAGTAATAGTTCCTATAATCAACAGATAATTAATGTGATTTCTAAGTTTTGATGGTGACTTTTTAAAATTTTGGTTTCCCCAGGGATGATGATGTTTTGTTTGTGTGTGAAGGAGAGCCATTTATTGGTAAGTGTCTTTCTTAAAGGCCAATTTTGTTTACCAAAATTAAAAAAGGTAAAATGGTAAATACTTTACATGGAGTTATATAGCTTAACATTAAAAGGATCTCATGGGTATACTCAAAACTTGTACACTTTTTGATTCTACATTGGGTGAGTGTGTTAAAGTACATTTATAATTTGAATTATATGGTGGTATACTAGTATGAATACCTTCTCTTTACAAGCCTTTGAGATGCTCTTAATTTGTTCATCTTTATTAGCTTTGACATGATGGAGTGATTTTGACTTTAGAAGTTACAACTATTCTAATTTTTCTCTTTGGTAGTAATTCAGAATTTCTTTTAGAGTTATGTTACTCATTTGTAAGATAAGTAGTTTGACAGTCCTTCACTGCTAGGCAAAGCAAATTAATCAAAAAATGTCTTGGCAAATGCCATACATGGGAATACATGGGTGTCCTGCCCTTAGATTTGGAAGAAATTGTGTATCATTAAGAATATCTCAAAAGAAAAACCCTAAAGCTTATGTAAGCAAGTACTCTTTAATGAGCTTTTTTTTTTTTTTTCGGTACTGGGAATTGAACTCGGGCCCTTGCACTTGCCTGGCAGGCAGTGGAACCACTGAGCTGAATCCCCAGCCCCTAATGAGCATATTTATTTTATTTTAAGTTCCATACGGTCACACCTGAATGTATGTTTAAACATTTGTAGCAATAATTCTCAGGATCTTTGCTCAGGCTGTCGCCAGCTTACAAGTAAGCTCATGTTCTTCTCTGTCTCTCCTTAGAACCTGGAGCAAATCTTCCTCATTGTCTTTTATCCACCTGCCTAAGCATGGTTGGCAGACAGTGGCTACTTATTGGTTCATTGCATACAAACAGCGGTTTATTAAACAGAAGTCAGGATGGGATGGTAGCCCGGTAATAGAGTGTGTGGTTAGCGTGCATGAGGCCCTGGCTTTGGTTTCCAGCGCCAAAAATAAAATAAAAAGTATTAGAATTTGTTTTGTGTGTTGCTCAAAACTCTTAGATTTAGACACATTTCGTGTGTTTCCATTGTCTGCATTCACTGATGCTCACATGGTCTTACATGGCCGGGGAAACCTTTCTAACATAGCTCCATCTGTCTTTTACAGTTTCTTTCCCTTCTGGAGTACCAGGATGTTCATCTTACCTTTCTTGTCACAGACCTGAATCAACATTTTTTTCGAGAGTTGATTATTGTGATTTCAAGATACAAGCTGAGCACTAGGGCAGCTTTGGCCACAGGGTTCATAATTGCTGTTGGGCCTTTTTGATGGCAACAATGAGAAGTATACAGGTAGCTAGAGAGAAGATTTACGTACAGTGTTACGTAATGTGGGCTATAAAGTTTATGTCCTGTAATATAATATATAAATAGATAAAATGGGTTCATAGTGCTTCCAGTTGATGGTCAGGATCATAGAGGTTTTTTTAACTTCTCTCTTATATCTGTATATCCTTTATTCTATAGCAGTAATTCTGATTTTTAGCCGTATAACCAGTGATAGAATTGTAATGTCTCATTATTTACTTCATTCCAAACAAATAACAATCCCAGTACTTTTAGTACCAGTATGCTTACTGAAAATAGTTACGCGTTTCTTGCATATTGTCATCCTTTCTACTTCTTTCTTTTTTTCTGGCAGTACTGTGGATTGAATTCAGGGCCTTTGCACTAGACTTTCAAGCCCCTTCTTTTCTTTTGGAGGCAAGGTCTTTGCTGCCTGAACTGCAGCCCTCCTGCCTCAGCCTCATACCGCCACAGCTGGCTCCTCTCTCCACTCACTGAGAATGATTGTGTTTCCGCATTGTTAGAACATGTATTTACTTACAGTATGACTGTGCTCTCTCCCTGAGGGCCCTCATTTAGCTTCACTTTTTCAGGCATGTTTAATGCTCGCCTCCACTCTAATAGATTCTGCCCAGAGAGTCTGTGAGAACAGTGTTCTCTGACATCTTGCTCCTTGTAAGTTTTGGCTTCTACACTTGAAAGTCAGATGTAGAATCATGTCCGTGCTTATCAAATTATAGACTTTAAATATGTGTGTTTTATGTCGCTTATATCCCAGGGAACCTATGGAAAAAGGCTTGGTTCACATTTTCTTTATTTGAAGACTTAAATACTGTATATTCCACTTTATTCTGGCAGAAAGTGTTGCCATCAAAAACTCTGATCTCTTATGTGATTATTTCTCTTAGATCCTTGAAAGGATTTTTCTTTTCTTTCTTTTTTTGGGCGGGGGGGCAGGTACCAGAGATCGAACTCGGGACCTTGCGCTTGTGAGGCAGGTGCCGGAACCACTGAGCTAAATCCCCGGCCTGATTTTTCTTTTTTTGATGCACAGTATTTTAGTAGAATATTTCTTGGTGTTCTGGGTTGGTTTCTTCGGGTATGTGATGGGTCCTTTTTAATGCATGGTTGTAAATATTTATATTTCTTAATTTCAAGTATATTTTCTTTAACTTTAAATTACCTATTTTGTCATCTTGCTTTGATTTTCTTTAAGGATTCCTGTCATAAGTTAAATCTTCTACATTTGTTTTTTATATTTGAAAGGATTTTATAAATCCTTTTCATCTCTTTATATGTTTGATTTGTAAAGCTTTTTCTTTTTCACCTTTTATTTCCCTGAGAACATTGAATTTAGTCGTTCTTATCTTTCTCCTAGTTTAATCTTCATTTTTAAAATAGTTTTTTCTTTTATTTCTATTTTTCTCCTAACTTCCTCACCTCATTTCTGAATTTTACAATTCTAGTTTCTCTTATTCTTTATATTTATTTACTACTTTTAGCATGCTTTGGAACATTATAGTTTTTATCTATTTAGTGAACATTTCTTTTTTATTGTCTGTAGGGATATGTTTCCTGCTCTTTCCTGTGTATTTAATATTTATATATGGATTTGATCTCTATCACTTCCTGTTACTCATTTTAACATGAAATTAAGTTTTACTTAATTTGAGAAGGGATAACTGACTTAGGAAAGTTTTTTTTTTAATTTTATGACCCTAGAATTCCTTTTCTGTTTTGTAAAGTATTAAAAATACAGGATTATTTTCTGATATAATTCAGGTCTATTAAACTTCTTACCTTTTTTGGACTCCTTTTTGTCTCTGTTGTCATTGTTTTGTTCTGCTTGGAACCCTTCCCCAGTGTCTTATCATGATGTGGAGCTTTGCACTTAGAAAGGAGTTTTGGCTGGTTGGTTTTCAGAGATAATTTCCACCCCTTTGAGATACTAGTGCAAGCTCCTGTGTCACCCATTTTGGGGATGAACATGCCCATGCCCCTCCTACTTTCAGCTGGCTGTGTCGGGTTTGTCCAGCTATGAAACAGCACCTCTGCATAGCTTGAAATTCTTGGGTCCATCGCACACCCTGTTGCTTCTCTGCTTTTCTTCATCGAGGTTGGGGACATGCTGCTCCTCCAGCTGCAGGTGTCTTTGGGACAACCTTATCACCTAGTTTTGTTGTAGATGCTGCCTGTGGGTTGGGGTTTTGCTGTCCTAGTAATTCTTTTATGTGTGCTTTTAGGGTAGATTTAGTTTCACATGGTCTCCCCCAAATCCCCCATTTAATATCTGTATTTTCTGGTTGTCATCTCTAGATCCTCAGACAGATTCTAAACCACCTGAAGGATTGTTGGGATCCCACACAGACTGGCTAACATTAAATGTTGGAGGGCGGTACTTTACAACTACACGGTAGGTGTGTGTGTGTGTGTGTGTGTGTGTGTGTATGTGTGTGTGCGCGCTAAGAGAGAATGAAAGGCGCTATATGTACCATTTATTCTTTCCTGTAATTTGCTGAATCCTTACAAGGTAATCAAATGGCTGCGTAAATATACAATATGATATGAAAACATTTTTTGGAAAGTTTTTTAAAGAAAAAAATAGAACCTAATTGCCATGCCATTCCAAAGAAGGCATAAAAAGCATGAATTCAGTGTTTTAGAACGTGCCTTTTGATATCAATAATATACTTGAAATGCAAGTAAAAATAACAATATTGAATTTTGTAGAGATTACAGCTACTTATTACAGGGAGAAAAATAAGTTTAGATGATAAACAATATTGTGATATAATATCTGCCTAGAAGGATATTAGTATTTAAATAAAGATAAAACTGTGTAAATCAAAGGAAGTGCCAGATAAGGGATTTTGATAAATAGCAACTTATTGGACGTTTTTGTTTCCCAGCATTACTCCTACCAGGTTATAGTATGCATCTTTTTGAAAGAACAGCTGAAATCAAGTATACACTTGACTTAAATATGTTTGTTTATAAAGACACATGGAGAAATCAATTTTTTTCCCTGAATTCTTAGGAGCACTTTAGTGAATAAAGAACCCGACAGTATGCTGGCCCACATGTTCAAGGACAAAGGTGAGTATAAGGCACTGTTTTTACCATTCGTGTGATCTATTGCTATGTGTGTGGACTCTGTTGCTCCTGAATGTACTTTTTAGTAGTATCAGTAATTTTCACATTGGTAAAAACTTGCTGGCATATTATACAATTTTCTTTCATTAATTCTAACTATTATGGTTTATGGGGGGCTTTCTTCATTGTGATGGTGACACAGGTGTCTGGGGAAATAAACAAGATCATAGAGGAGCTTTCTTAATTGACCGAAGTCCTGAGTACTTTGAACCCATTTTGAACTACTTGCGTCATGGACAGCTCATTGTAAATGATGGCATTAACTTATTGGGTGAGTTTTCAATGATTCCTCACATTTTTGTAAGTTTAGGATTTCTTATTTTGTTTTTTATGTGTAATATATATTTTCACAGAGCAAAGATACCTTTTCCACTTTTTAAACTAGGTTTTCACACATGTATGAGTATATATAGGTATAGAAATAGATCTCAGGTATCATTTTGGGTCTGTAGTCTTAGTATGTATTAGAAGGAAAGAAATTATAAAGATCAGAGAAGAGATCCCAGGCTCCTAAGGCAGAGAAGCTCAGCCAGTCCCAGCACCCGGAAGGAAGCTCCCCCGCCGCCATCCCAAGCTCCTAGGGCAGAGAAGGTGAGCCACGTGGGTGACAGAAGCACCCCCCCTCCGACCCCCGTGGAAATGAGAAGACTTAAGCCTCAAAAACAGACTTCCGGTCACCTACAGCAACTCCAAAGGGAAACGAGATGGAACAATCTGATACTCAACCACCTGGAATCTCTGAACTGGCAACAAAGGAGGATCTGGGAAAAATGAAATCAGAAATAATTACTCAGATAACAACAAAGATTTTGCTCATGGTGCAAGACATGATTAATCTAGAGAGGACACAGATAAAAAAATAGAGGATCTGAGGAACGTGATGGAATCCCAACATAGGAAACAAATGGAAATCCATAAAACAGATACAGATTTCCGAGAGATTAAAAACTCCATCGAAAGTCTGCACAGCAGAATGAACCAATGTGAGGATAGAATTTCACATATAGAAGATAAGATTGCAATTAGTGAGGAGGAAAAGAAA